GGAGGCAGAAACCAGCGAAGGATTAGGGGTGGAGCAAGTACGCGAGCGAGACAATTGATTACCGTCTTTTCCTTTTTTGATACAAGCTGCATATCTACGTGCACTATTTGCTGGCCGGTATTCCATTTTTTTTTTTTTGCTGTTCCATAAGTAGTATTTTTTTCTGGTGCGTCTTTGTGACCCGTTTTTGGCTCTTCTTGTATGTTTGTAGGTGTCGGTTGCTGATGCCCCGCAACGGCAAACACGTGAAGGGGCTTTCTCTGTAATTGCCTGCATGGGGATGGAGTGGGGAATTTTGCTGGCTCTCCAACGGTGTGTGTGGATTTGCTTCTTTCGTTTTGTACTTTGCATCGAAAGGCGTGACACGTAAATTTTGCAGTATGACAACAACAAGACACAAGAAGTATGATTGGCCTGCTGTCGGCCTCGGCGTTGCAATTATCGGCTTTCTGTCCTTTTTTTTTTCGGTGAGAGCTCGAGTACTGAACAAGAGTCTGAGATGGAAACAGGGGAGAAACGTTTCACCGCTCATGGAGAGCGTGGCCTCTGCTGTGTCTGTTGCATCGCTTCAGCCACTGAGGCTCTTCTTCCCTGCCGCCATTTGGCTTTGTGCTCGCCGTGCCGCAACAAATACACCAAAGTCAGTCAAAAGTGTCCCATTTGCAGGCAGACGTTTACCAATGTCATTTCTGTGATCCTTACCTGAGCTCATACGAGGCGTCTTCGGTTGCACTTTCTCTGCAACTGACATCTTTTGATTCACAGGTGTGAGTGGGAGAAGGCACCACAACTGCCGTTGCTTCAAATCGGGGGTTAAAAGAAAAAACAAACATAAGATGGAAGGAGTGGGAGGGGAAAAAAGTAGTGGTGACATTCGGGACATGCACATCTGGCAAGAAAACACTTAAAGTGTCAGTGAGGGGAAAGAAGTCAAGAGTGAGAGAGCGATGAAGAAAAAAAAAGGGGGCAGAAACCAGCGAAGGATTAGGGGTGGAGCAAGTACGCGAGCGAGACAATTGATTACCGCTTTTCCTTTTTTGATACAAGCTGCATATCTACGTGCACATTTGCTGGCCGGATTCCATTTTTTTTTTTTTTTTGCTGTTCCATAAGTAGTATTTTTTTCTGGTGCGTCTTTGTGACCCGTTTTTGGCTCTTCTTGTATGTTTGTAGGTGTCGGTTGCTGATGCCCCGCAACGGCAAACACATGAAGGGGCTTTCTCTGTAATTGTCTGCAC